TAATAGGAGGCAACAATACCAAAAAAACACAGTAACAGTGACAGCCACACAGCAACATAGTGAACAAACAGCAGACTAACCATCTGTGAGACCAAAAAGACACACCCAATGCACCAAATCACAAAATAAACTCCAAAGGATGCTTGAGGAGGCTCAGTTGGCTCCCATAGGACATAGCCCAGCAGTCGAAATCACAAAATCGAGGCTAGAATCGCAGATTGCAAAAATCGGCACCACAAATCCGAAAAACATTCAAAAATCGGAAACTCACATCAAACAACTCCAAAAAAATTCACAAAAATAACCATAAATCTCAGGAGATAATTTTGAGTCTAGAGGTGAAGGACCCATCCATACAGTGCTTACGTCATACTGACATCATCGTATGGATGGTGACATCAACACATCTCGGTCACCTCCAATTGATTTCTAGAGTCTGTAGAACACTTTCTAATGAAGAATAGATTGCTCTGATACCAAGTTAGAATGAATAATGAAGAAATTTAGGGTTTGGGTTTATAGGGTTTAAGAAGAAGAAGAAAAGAGAGTAATTTTATATGTCTGGAATAAAATATTAACGCTACATCAGCAAAATATATATACAAATCCTAACATAGTGAAATGACCATCATACCCTCAACCTATGAAGCACACGGACGGGTACGAGTACTAGAACAAGTACGATATGGGTACGTTAATACGGTAATATTCGTAAAAAAAATAAATAAATAAGGTACGGGTACAGCTTGGTACGCTTGTAAGGTCCAATCTATAATTAACATTTAATGTCAAAAGTAAAGGTATAAATTAAAATTAAATATCAATATATTAAATAATTTACAAATCGTAGTTTAATTTTAAAATCATGCTAAGCATAAAACAAAAAATAAAAATAAAAAAGTCTAGTGAATGGAGTTTTATTTATGTGGTAGACGAAAATACTATTTCAATTGACGTACAATACAGCTTAAGTATATACTAGATATGCCTAGGTACGCTAAAAATTAAGAAGAAAAAATTTGGATACGTGTTTTGTGTACCCAGTACGTATACAGAAGTATCATACGCCGGTATGTACCCAGTACGGGTACAACATGTTTTTCAAAGAACCCATGCTTCATAGCCCTCAACTTAAGTAAATATTAACGAAAGGACAATAAAGAAATAAAGCAACTATTCTAACAATTGATATGGGAGTGTTACGCCTAGATGAAAGGGATCTTCATTTTTTTCAAAGTTGATCAAATTGACAAAATAGAAAACACATAATCCCACATTCTTTTCACATTTTTTTCCCCCCAGTCCCTCTCTACTTTTACTTTCTCAGCTAACACAACCAACCCGCTAGCATTTGGTTACCAGAATCTTATGATTCACAATTCATGTATAGATTCATACAACTATAGGTGAATCTATTTTGGCTATGTAGCACGGACACAGACACGTACACGAGACACAACACAGGCAAGCCATTTTCTTAGAGGTGTCCTTTCATCTTAGTAATTTGGGATAGAACTAATGGTGGAATTGCACGATTCATGATTTGATTTACGACGCATGCATAGATTGAAATAAATTTACGAGCAAATTTATTTTGGGATAAAATCGATGGTGAATTATATGGTCTCGGGTACGAGAATCGAGTGCATGTCCAAGCGTTAGACCTTCATAAACCTACTTTTTAAAAGATATTGAGTTATGTATCCAAAAGTTGGATATGGGTATGGAGACGTGTCGTGGACGCATATTGTATAATATTCTTAGATAAGATATTAATCTTCTTAAATTAAGATTTAAGGAAAATGTGGAGTTGTTATCTCTCATTCACGTGAGGCCAGAATAGAAATGTTTCTTTACTAACAAATTTGAGTTTCTGCTTATTCAAACATCATTAAAAATTAAAGGATCCAAGTGTCTAAATTGAGTATGGATGTCGAACACATATCTCACACCCTTACCCTTGTCATATCGAGTGGACACGAGCACAATAGAAAGAATAGAAGAGTCCATGTAACATAGATGGTGAATCACAAGATTAACGATTCAATTCACATTTTACAATTTATGTGATTCATGAAAATATCAAGTTTGACAAATTTCGATCCCTTTTTACCTTTTTTTTGGAGGGTATAAAATATCATGATACAACTTTTTTAAGAGTATGCAGTACGAACCAATACTTGTGCATGATTTTTTGTTATTTTGGTAATCAGAGCTCTATTATTAGAATCATACGATTCGCAATTCAAATCGTATGATTCGATAGGTAATTGATTCAAACAGGTTGTGTGAATTGCAAATAGCTATGAATTGTAGATGAATCGGCGAACCGAATTGGAGTATTGTAAATCGATTCAATTCGCTAAAATCGATGTTTGACTTTCTTTCTTGGTTTTTTTATTGTTGGAAAATGGTTCACACAACCTTTTTAAGGTCTCTAGGATTATTATATGCCATCTTTTGACTTTCTCCCTCCCTATTTACTCTAAAATACTCAAACCTTAGCCCAAAAAAAATGAAGTTTCTCTCTCTACAATATTGTAGGCTTATTCAATTTTATCTAAGTACTTGCATTTACAAAATGAATTTTTTGAAGGAATCAAGTGAGATTTTTTAAAAAGTTTTAAGATTTTGATTTTTTATATTTGTAAAAAGTTAAAAACATTGTTGTTGAGTTATTGTTACTTAGAAATTGAAAGTTTGTATTTGTTTGCTTTCTTTATTAAGAACGATTGATAAGAAATAATATCTAAAAGGAAAAAGGTGAAGTGGTAAACATGGGAACCAGTGTTAATTTCTTACCCAAACCACATGATCATTATTTAAAACAATATTTTTATTAATTTAAGTCTAAATATTTCATATTTATTAGATATATTGAATATCTAAGTGTGTAAATATATTTTCTATGTAATTAAAAAAAGGTGATGGAATCTTTACGATTCATGATTTGATTCGATTCGCGATTCGAATCCCGATTTGACAAGTATGAATTAGAGTATTTAAAAAGATTAAATCAAATTTTAATAGACGGACTTTCTAGGAGATTTCTCACTCAATGCCATGGCTGGAGAATAGGCTACTTTTGGTGCTTCATAGTTGGGTAACGGTGTCGGCAGATCCGGATGTGTTGGCCTTTATAGATTTTGTGGATGATTTGACTGTTTAGTTTTGGCCATTGAAGGGCTCTATTTTTGTATGCTTTTGCACCACACCTTGATGCTTTCTAATAAAATATGATTTTATTTATCAAAAAAAAAAACCAAAAAGATCATCAAATCAGATCTAATAAGACCCAATAGATTCTTAACCCTTTTTCTTTTATCTTTTTTTTTTTAATTTTTTATTTTTACTCGAAAAGATGTCTTTTGTGGATGATTTGACTGTTTAGTTTTGGCCATTGAAGGGCTCTATTTTTGTATGCTTTTGCACCACACCTTGATGCTTTCTAATAAAATATGATTTTATTTATCAAAAAAAAAAAAACCAAAAAGATCATCAAATCAGATCTAATAAGACCCAATAGATTCTTAACCCTTTTTCTTTTATCTTTTTTTTTTAATTTTTTATTTTTACTCGAAAAGATGTCAAAATATATCATTGAAGGATGTTTAAGGCTAAAGTAACATGTGCTTATGATTTATCTAATGTTATTTTGATGAACTAAATATGGTTTCATATGACATGGGTGGTCAGCTTAGTCAAATCCAACACTTCCACAACTGTTCTAGCTTCTTTTTTTTTTCAAACAAGCAGACACCCCTTTTAAAGTGTCTTATGTTTTAAAGGGTTCTCACTTACTTTTTCTTCTTATTCTACTCTATTTAGGCTTTTTTTATCCATTTTTTGAATGTCAAAGAGAAAATATTTCATAAATTTTAAATATTTTTATGGTTGGTAGGATTTGAATCCACATCTCTTGCTATGGAAGCAATGTCCCAATTAGACTGTGTAATCATGTTCTTATAATCATCATCATCATTTTTGTCGAATCTCATAATTCTCAATTCAATTTGATTCGCGATTCTCAAAATTTCGACTTCAATTCATGATATGATCTTTGATTTGACAACTATGTTTGCCTCTGTCATATACAAGCCCCTGCCATAACTGTCTCTATTTTTGGAAACCCACATTCAAACATCCTATACCCATCTCCACTCTACATTCTATTCTCTTTCTCACCACCAATCCCAAACTACCCCTTAGTTACTACACCATCTATTATACGACAGACCACCATAACCACCACCATTAACAAAACTCCAAGCCTCATCAAGTTCCAATTCTTGATCCTTCATTAGATTTCATAGAGGTGAGGCATAAAATTTCTTCTTTTCAAATTACAATTTTTTATTTTCCCCTCATTTTCTGGTTTCTTCTTTGATTATTAAACTAATTGCATGGACCTTGGAAGCTGGTAAAAACATGGGTAGATTTTATATATATTGATATTTTTTTTATTAAGTACAAATTATATATTAAAAGAGAAAAAAAACCAAGGGGTGAAATCCATATCCAAAAATGAATGCTTTGAATAGAGACAGAGAAAGGGAGGGAGTGATGAAGGTTTAATTAGGATAAATAAATGAGGAAAAGCAAACAACACACAAATTGAAACTATAAAAGCCAATACTATACTGTTAAATTTGTCAAACTCATCATGGCAGATATTATGCAAACTGCTTGAATCCTCAGATTAGTGGGGAATCTGTCGACTGATTTGACTGATAAGATAAGCTTGATTATACTGTGTTGTCCTTCAAATCAACAAAGAACTGTTTCTGGGGGACTAGTTGCTACAACCATCCAACATTCTTGGACAAAGGTAATGAAAAGACATGAACAAAACTTCCTTGGCAAGTACTGAGAAAACCTTAGGAGTAACTATGTGCAAACATAGGCACTTCATATTGTTAAAGAGAAGTAAATTACCATGTCATGCCAATATTCAAAGAAACAGATAAAGGCTCGTGACAAGGTTGGGAAGAAAAACTAACCTGAAGAGAAGCTCTTGCAGCAGAAATCTCCTGTCTGAGTATATGGACATCCTGTGAAAGTTTCTCCTCAGTAGTGGCAAGCCTCACCTTTTCTTCCCTGGACTTCAGAATGAACAGCACAAGACTCTTTCGAAGCTCGACAACTTCTTGGTACATATTTGCTTCATCTGCAGATATCTGGGCAAGTTCCTGAAGCTTTGTTCCCCTGTCTTTTTCCTGAGATAGGAAATCATCAATTTCCTTCTTTTTTCTAGTTAAAGCTTCATTGTGTAGCTCCATCTGAGAAAGGCCTGACTGCAGGTTATCATACTTTGTATCTACACTTGACTGCACCTCCTGAAAGCTAGAGACAACATCAGCAATTCTTTTCTCAACTGTTTTGATGTTATGATCAGTTTCAGTTATTTCCACTTCCTTTTCTTTCACTAAAACAAGCAATTTCTCCAGTTCGTCTCTCAACATCTCTTTTCTCTTACAAAGAAGTTCTCTTTCTCTCCTATCATCCTCCACTGAATGTTCAATGGAATCACTCAACACCAATCTTGCTGAAATTATTAAATGTGATTCAATTTCCAGCTCCATCTTCTTCAACTCTAAGTCTTCGGTTAATGAAAGCCATGCATCCAGCTCTTTTCCAGATGCCACTTCCGCATTTTTTAGGACTAGGTCTGAATCATTAGCAGCATCCTGGAAAAAGAAAATATACTTAAAAAGGTCTGATGACAAAAAATCAATTTCAATCCGACCATAAGTGGAAATCGATGTCAAAGTGGACAAAAGGGTATGACAATTTCATGAAAGGAACAACAAAACATACTTCATCAGAAAAAACAATGAGTTTTCCCAGCATTTTCATGTTTTTAATGCAACAATTTCCCCAATACACCAACAATTGCATTCAAGATGTTATTTTTAAGAAGCAAAAACACTTTTCTTTTCTTAGTTCACTTTCCTTGTTCTGAATTATATCATATTACAAAGACTGCTGATGCTTTTGAAATAGTTCCAGATTTTGTGTAGACAAGCTGAAATTCTGCCTGAAAATCTAATTCTGATTCGTCTTTTTTTAATAATTAGGAACTCTGCTCTTTAATAGCAATAAACCCCCCGTACTAAATCCCAGTGACTTCTGACGTGACAAGATAAGAAGGTAAAATCATTTAATCATAAGCTTCACCACTAATCATACTAAATAACCCTGCCAACTTGAAAATAGAACACTATTGACTTAACTTACCCAGCTCAATTAAGTATTAACCGCACTGCACATACTTTAGATTTGTTTACAAAATTAAACCCATTAATATATTAAATGTTCACATAAAAAAATTCAAAAGCTTATTTTCAATTTTATCTCAAAGCTGTTCATTAAGATTTTTGTTTCATTTGCAGTAGGGCAACCACCAATTTACGCACCAAGTCATCACATGAAATTGACATTAATTAGTCAATGGTTGTCAAGTGCAATATCTCATTTAATCAAAAACCACTATGATTCGAGCAAATTCAAGAAAATAGAGACCGATATGACTATGTCACTATATATATATATTAAGAAACAGTTTTGCATTAACTAAAAATCAACAATAGCTTTGATTCAGACAAAATTAGAGACAACAGACAAATTCCAATTAGGCCTTCCAACAAAAGGTTTTGGCTAGTCAACACTCCTCAGTATGATGATGCACCCTAATAACAAGATGCCATACCTAAGCAGCATGGGCATGGGTATGGGCGCGGACACGGACACGGACACGAGACACTGTGATTTTAAAAAATATGATACAAACATGGCAGGAATACAACCAAAATAAATTATTAATAAAAATAATGAAAAACTAAAACTAATTCAATATGAAAAATAATGAAAAGCATGTAAGTTTCACAATGAATAGCCAAATAGATCATCCATAAAAAATGGGAGGCTATGTCAAATCAAGGTGTGCGCGCTATATGCCTAGTTATGACCCAAAGTGGTCTTGGTTACAAAACAAAATGGCATTGACTATGACTCGTGGGGATAGCCTGGTCTTGGTCTTGATTATGAGACAAAGGGGGTGTTATACTAATTGTCTCATAACCAAGACCACTTTGGGTCATAACGGGGTATATAGTACACGCAACACACCTTTTTAGGTATGTACCATAGAATTGGCAATAAAATATACATAAATTACAAGTCAAAGAAGTAAAACATTGCAATCTAAAAAAATCATCATCCAACATTCATCAAAAGCACAAAAAAAATAAAAATAAATAAAAAGTTCCACAAAGCTTCAAGTAGACCTAACTTCGACCAAGTCATCTTCACCATCAAGTGAGGGGTTTGCAACCTCATCATCCTAACTTCAACCAAGTCTAGTGGAGATCATTGAGAGGAATCGAATCAGAAGTTACTCTATCAAGATCGATTTGGGGGGAGCTTTTTGGGCTATGCAAGTTTTGCGAAAGGTTTGGAGATGGCGCAAGGATCGATCCTTTTTCAGCAAGTATATCAGCAGTTCCACAGTATTCTGTCTTCAGAAATACAGCAACAAGGGTGGTGTCTTTGTCGAGTTGTCCAAATGGGAGGCTGGGGTACGGAAAAGTAATATTATTATTCCGGCTGGGGTTGATGGTCAAGGGTGGATGGCTGTGGCCAAGATGTTTGAAAGAATTATTCATGGAGATTTTAGGGTTAAGGACGATGGGGAAAGAAAGCACCGAAGTGACCATGATTTATCATGGACTCGCAGAGGCGTCACAAGAGTGAATATGTCTGTTCAGCAGAACACAAAAGCAAACAGAGGAGCTTCACACGCCGATGTGCTCAACTCTAAAATAGATTTCTTGGGAGGCAGTAGCTCTATTCTAGAGATGCGCAAGGTGGTGGTTTGCACCAGAACTGATTTCTTCGATGAGTGGGCTCAAATTGAGAAGGAGCTCAGTCGAATCTTTTAAAACTAATATTTCTCTGAGGTCTTTTCAATTGAACAGAGCTCTGTTTGTCGCAAAAAGCGTTGAGGAGGCTGATTAATCTGGTGGTCAGGGATGGTGTTTCTCTGATAAGAGCATTGCAGTGAGTTTGGACAGCTCTCTGTTTGTGATTTACCTTTTAGTCTCTGGAACAATACGGTTTGTGAATGGATTGGGACGAAGTGTGGAGGGCTGGTAGAGGTGGACAATAGAACCAGGTCTTTCGGAAATCTCTGAGGCAAGATTGAAAGTCAAAGGTCTGGGTAATGGGTTCTTACCTGTGACTATTGAAGTTCAAGTGGAAGGCATTTCTGTTGTTGTTCGTTTAAAGGCATTAACAAAGTCTATTGGAAGATGGGAGGGTCACCAGCAATGGAGTTTCCAACCAGTTTCAAGCGACTCCAGTAACGGAGATAGGGGAGGGAGAAGTCAGAATGGTGGACTGAACGAGGTGGATGACGGCCACGAAGGAAGCGTATGAGACAAAAGGGGCAATCAATTGTAGTGTTTGATTAAATTTGGGCCTGGCCAAACTATGGGCCCAGCCCACGATTTGGTTATTTCAAATAATCATATTAATTTTGGTATACAGGATAAGGGGGACCCAAATGATTTTCAAAGCATTAAGGATTGCGGCCCAGTTCTTAATAATGGCCCAAATGTGTTTTGTTGTTTTAAGGAAAGGGGCCCAGGTTTTATGGAAGATTTTAGGGTTTTTTATTCCAACCCAATGGAGGTTTCGGGGTTGGGTTTAAGTAAGAAGGACAACCCGATTCTTTTGGCCTCACGGGTTAAAGATTCTCAATCAGTCGGTGTCCAAGGGCCTCGCAAAACTTCTGCGACAGAGGAGAGGAGTAGAATCCCCTCTTCTGACGCATCAGAACCAGACAATTGTGCTCATCCTAGGCAGTCGGTCATTCGCAAAGTCCTTAGCACACAGGAAGCACAGCCAGGGTTGACCGATATCGTGGATAGATCATGTTGAGATTTTCAGAGATTACCTGTTGTGGCTGAGGACTTGATGGAAGCTTTGGAAAAACTGGTTCAGGACTTGGAAGAGGATCGTTTTCAACCGCATGAGGTATTGCAAGCTCTGGATGAGTATGGATCATCCGAGAGTTCAGATTCACAATCTGAAGGGAAAAGCATAGAGGATGAGCCAGCTGACCAGGATTGGGATCTCAATAATCTTTTCAATGCTGATTGTACTGCTGATGGTGACGATATCGAGAAGATTTCCGACTCTCTAAATCAGGTCAGTCCTTCATTTAACCAAGTTTTATCATCTTCATCTTCGCTTCAGGGGGTACAAGCCATTCCAAATTCTTCTATTTCTGGGGAAGGGGCTTCGGATGGGGTTTCATTGTTTCATTCTTCTAGACTGATTTGTTCTGTTCCTCCGATTTCATCAGGTGATGTTCATGAACAAGGGGTTACCTTTGATATATCTCAAGGGCCATTGTGAATAACACTACTGTTGTGTCTGAGTCTTTGCAAGCTAATATTACTAAAGGTCAAGTGGATGACAATCAAGGAGGGATCTCAGGAAGTCATGTTGACAAGGGGGGACAGGTTTCTAGTAACGGGGTTGAAGAAACGGAGGGTTGGTTTAAGAATTAAGTAAATATAAGACTTGCCCAATTGAGGAGGAGGGGCCTCATTTTTTGCGGTTACTTCAAGTTATGGGATTGTCACTAGTTAAAATCACGGGGACTTCTAGATCACTTAGTCAGAATATTAGGTTCATAAGGGAGAAAGATGGTAGAAAGGTAGGAGAGAGTAGCAAAAAAGGGACAAGGGAACTTAGGAATTTAGCAAGTTCGGTTAATTATGAGAGGCGTCGGGAGGTATTTAGGGGTGAACAGGTTTCCCAATGAAGATTATTAGTTGCAATGTCAGGGGGTTGGGCGCTCGGAGAAAGAGGGGTGTTATTAAGGATTTGCTAAGGAGTCATCAACCGGACATAGTTGTTTTCAGGAATCTAAAGTAGAAGTGTGTAATAGGAGGTTCATGAAGAGTCTTTGGGGAGTTAGATATAGGAGTTGGGCTTGCTTGCCTTCAGTTGGTAGATCTGGGGGCATTTTGGTGACGTGGGATGAGAAAGTTGTTTCTCAGTGTGAAACTATAGTTTGGGGGAGGTTTCACTATCGGTTAGGTTTAAAAATCTTGACAACTCAGAGTGGTGGCTGACAGAGGTTTATGGTCAAGGTTTTAAAAAGCGGCCGCAACCGTTACGTAATGCCGTTACGTAACAGTTTTGGCGGTTACCGCCACCCATTACGGCCGCTTTTGCAGTGTGATTGAGATTCATAGGTGTGTCGGCCGTAGCGACTGCCGTAGCGGTCGTAACAGTGCCGTAACAGCCGTAATGGCCTGTTACACACCGTTACGTAACGGTTCCAAACTGTTTCTTTCGAGAAAACACACAAAAAAAGGCTGAAAATGGGAGAAGAGGCATAGGGAGAAGAGGGAAGATAAAGAGAGAAAATGGAGGAGCAAGAGATAGAGAGAGAGAAGAGAGAAGATGAAGAACATGCTATTGATTTGTTGAATTGAAGCTGTAAGACCTATGCTATTTTATTCAGCTGCTATCACTCAACCATTTTGTTTGTGTGTGTCTATCTATATATTGTTTGAAAATAATAATAATAATAATAAGTGTGGTCATTATCTATTTGGCTTGGTTAAAATATGTATAAATATATATATATAGGCTCTTATTTATTCTCTTA